TTGTGTTTAGATGTTTGTCTTCCCACGTATACAAACACACACAACGTGTTTCTGAAGGTTTAGATATTTGTCTTCCCCACGTATACACACACACAACGTGTTTCTGAAGAGATTGTGTTTAGATGTTTGTCTTCCCACGTATACAAACACACACAACGTGTTTCTGAAGGTTTAGATATTTGTCTTCCCCACGTATACACACACACAACGTGTTTCTGAAGAGATTGTGTTTAGATGTTTGTCTTCCCACGTATACAAACACACACAACGTGTTTCTGAAGGTTTAGATATTTGTCTTCCCCACGTATACACACACACAACGTGTTTCTGAAGAGATTGTGTTTAGATGTTTGTCTTCCCACGTATACAAACACACACAACGTGTTTCTGAAGGTTTAGATATTTGTCTTCCCCACGTATACACACACACAACGTGTTTCTGAAGAGATTGTGTTTAGATATTTGTTTTGTGTATCGGAGGAAAGAAAAATAAATGCTGAGCACAGTAAATATAAAAGTTAGTATCAACGAAAAGCATAAAAAAAAATATATAAAAATCGGTAAACGACACAAGACTGATTATTATAATAACTTTTAACACTAGAAGGCGCAGCACATGTGTCTGGAGGTTATGGAGGAACGAGCCCTATTGTTCACCAAAGGGAGGGGTGAGTGACGTGAGCTTCATCCTGGATGTAGAGCTGTTGCCAGACGGCTTCGGTTGGGTACTGAGGCCTGGTCAGCTGAGGCCAGTAATTATGGGTGAAGAAGTACCGAGCCGACTGCTACAGAAACAGCCGCCAATTGTTGATCGACGTGCTAAGAAAAGCGATGAGCAGGCGACATCTATTGGCTTAAATGAATGGGATAGGCCAGGATTATGACTACTTAAATACCGGGGTCCTTATCTACGTAGGCCTAGCGCGATCTGAAGGAACCGATGGGTTTAGACTACCATTATGGTAGCTCTTTGCTGTGTGCGTTATTTGAGTTCCAAGAGTGGTTATGTTGTTTGCTTAAAGGTATACACCTCCCCCCCCCCAAAAAAAAGTGTGAAGATTACCATAATGTGGTGATTTTATTCGACCTTCCATTTTCTGTATTCGCACAGGCAGCACATGCTCTATACTCTCGTTACCAACATACATATTATATTCTCGTCGCCATCAGTACTTGGTGCTTGATTAATGCTTTTTTTTATTGTTGTTGTTGTTGTTTGAATTTAGGCACAAAGCTCTGCCCATCACGGGTATCGAAACCCGGTTTCTAGCGCTGTAAATCTGCCGAGATACCGTTGTATTTTTTTTAATCAGAAAACGACTGCACATAAGAATTTAATACAGTAGTGATCATGTATTCTGTTTGTTTGTTTTTCTGTATACGTAGTATGATGTTTATAAGCCACAAGCGGTAAAGCTGGCGATGCTTATCCGACTTCACGCATTATATTATATATATATATATATATAGCAGTTAAATAGAAAATAAATAAAACATTAAAGGTACAGCTATTATTTATCACCTCAATCGTTGCTTTCTTCAGAAATGGGAGAGAGGTGGATGGTTATCAGCACTGATAACACCGTTTTAAGATCAGCACCACGTGGTTATCAGGACTGATGACACCGTTGTAAGATCAGCACTACGTGGTTATCAGGACTGATGACACCGTTGTAAGATCAGCACCACGTGGTTATCAGGACTGATAACACCGTTGCAAGTCCAGCGCCACGTGGTTATCAGCACTGATAACACCGTTGCAAGATCAGCACCACGTGGTTATCAGGACTGATAACACCGTTGTAAGTCCAGCACCACGTGGTTATCAGGACTGATAACACCGTTGCAAGTCCAGCACCACGTGGTTATCAGGACTGATAACACCGTTGTAAGTCCAACACCACGTGGTTATCAGGACTGATCCTTCTAATCTTCATCATTTCCTTTTCATCAGTAAAAAAAAGGATCTATGTAATATTTTACTTTTACTGTCTCAGTTTTAGCTCTTTTTAAATTTAAATTTCACTCGTTGTTGTTTGTTTGTTTGTTTTGTTTTCACGTAACATCAAGAGCTTCAATATTTCGTGTCCAGAGTTTCTTGCCCCCACCCAACTGGGTATCCAAGGGCTGGATTGAACACATTGACTTTGTGTATATTTCTTTTAAGTAATCCTTTCAGAAAACAACACAGTTATACATAAATATTCAGACCCGGATAATGGTTGTTAGCACGCCCAGTAACTCCTGTATTTCATGATGAATCTGGGTTAGAATCCCATTGGGTTTCATTTCCACCATTGCAGAAACTAACAGAAATATTAGTTGTCCATGATTTATGAAAATTCAATGTTTCCTGAAAAATTTCTACACAAGGGTCATGTTGTTCATGGGGGGGGGGGCTGTTCAGGTTGTTGGTCCCCACTTGATTATTTTTGTCCTTTACAAAACTGGTGGTTTCATTTGTAAAACAATATGTGTGTGTGTATACACAAAAGTTACGATCATATATTTTCTACAGAATAGAGGGCGTTTTTAGAATCCAATTAAAGTACGTAGTCGAGTAACTTGAGGTCGTATTTTAATTGTTTAGGAGGCTAGTAATATGACACAATGGAAAAAGAAAAGCGTCACCTCGGTAAACGTTATTTTTGTCTGGTTTTCTTAAGACTTTTATCGTTTTCTTTTGTGTTAATTAAGTCGGTGTTATATAGCTACAGGCGACATAACGAACACCACCACCACCACCAGTGTTGTTAGGATACAGTAACAGGTGATATATACAGCTGCAAGCCACCGTCCTCTTGGGGGGGGGGCTGGATTTGCAAGCAACAGAGCGCGAGCGGTCAGGCATGCGGATGTTGTGGGTCAACGATTTTCTGCCTTTTAGATCTGCGCTTGACTTGGGTGCGGACTGCTTGGGGCAGCGAACGGGATGAATTTGATACCGTTGGTCTTCCGCTAGAGGGGGTCTGTAGACGAAAACTCTAGTTCAGAAAGCCCAGCAACTAAAAAAAAAAAAGCCTCATAATATAACCGGCGCTCCTAAAACACTAACATTAAGATATCCGCTAAGGAAACATGACGTCATTTTGTCCAGCTTCCAACTGCTCCTTGCTCCCTTCTGTGTTACAACCCTCGGGAATTAATTCCGAAGATAGCCACCCGTTGAAGGTTGTTGTCCAGAAATATGATGTGGTGTAAGTATTTAAGTTCATAGCTGTCCTTTTTAAGCATCTATTTAGGATACATTCGCAATCATTTCAGTATAGCAGGTTCCCCCCCCCCCCACTATTCAAATTGAATTTTAAGTATTTAATTATAGATTAACATTGAAGTCAGGAGAGAAAAGCTTTTTTCTTCTTTTGTTGTTCAATTATCTTCATGAGCAGCCAATGGTGAAAGGTCAAACGTACAATGAACAAAATAAACATTTATCTCTTCATTTCTCTCTTTTTTTCCGTGTCTTTAGGGTTTTTAGTCTTCGTGACTGAAGGGTTTAGGAAACCTTCTGAGAATTCTTCTTTTTTGTTTCTTTGATAAATGACACTTTGAAAAACGGATTAAAAGAGTGACGTGTGGCTAAAACACAACAAACAAGTTTATTAGAACCTTGAATTACTAAGACGACAGTAACGCCCTCAAGACAGTTCTATTAAACATTGTATCAAAATAAAATAAGGAAAAAAAAAAGTTATTTATTAATTCAGTGGACTGTCGATGTATTATTCCACAGAATATTCAACTTGTTGTGATATAAACCCTAGCAGAGTGAGTTCTCTGACCATCAATACAAGTGACGAAAGATTAATAAAAGCCTATTAAAATAACACTCAGTTTTTGTCTGTCCTGAAAATGCTCGCGCACTTCATTTCAACGGATGTAAACAAAAGGCCTAACATTATAAGTTTGTTTACTGATAGTATTAAGTACGATAAAGTTTAACCCTAACTAAACTAAAGCAAAAAATGTACATAAGTTACAGTTTTAATTTATCTCTTTATCGAATATAGTTAATAAAGAATTAACTATTGTTAGGCTTAAGACAAGTGAACTTGTAGATTTCGGTGTCTGCAATTAGAATTATTTTGTATTATTCTAGAAAGCTTGTAATAAAGATATTAATTTGATTTGGGGGTCTCCGTTAGTTTATAGTAAAAATGTTACTTAAAGTCCAGAAACTTTGGATTAAGAGTTTTCTAGGTGGAGCTGTCCCGATACTTATTGTCGTGGTTTAACAAGAGTCGAGAACCGTTAATAAGAGAAAAAAAGACTTAAAAAAGATCTTTCTAGAAATCACGATGTGAAAAATCTCAAATAACATTTATTTCTTTATCATTAGCGGAGCAAATATCTGTTTATTTGTGTATATGATTATAGTTTTTGTGTACATAATGAGTGACGAGTGTATATATATATACGTATATATTTCTCTTTTTTTTTCAGTTTTGGTTTTGTCCAGCCTAATGGAATATCTCGTCCTTTTGAAAGCCACCTGTCGTATAAAGCTGGAACTTCTCCACTGGTGGGTAGAAATTCGGAATCGTCAGACAGTAACAGTAGGAAATTAGAAAACAACAAGTCATCCCCGATCCTTGGGGAGAACCGGACAGTTCCTTTCAGCATTGGTGATTTTTCATCCTCTCAAACTCTCCTGCATTTAGTCCGAACTGCCAGTGCGCAGAGTGCATCACAGTTGGAGAACTACCTTCGAGGAACAAACAAAAGATCACTTGGGTCAGAAAACGGATCAGATCCTTTAGATCTGACCACTGGCACCACCAAACGGCCTTGTTTAGATAGTCCTAATGCTTCTTTGCAACGTTCCCATTTGTATTCACCTATTACAAGAGATATTGGTTCCTTAAAATCGGACACAGAAGCGGTAACCAGTAGTTATAATGATAATGGGTCAAAAGTCAGCGTCCGCAAGACTCCAAGTTGGACGAACTTATTAGACGGACGTCTTTCTAGGTCTGAGAATTCGTCCTCCGGAATGTCACCCAAGTATTCTGACAGAGGGCGTTGTTCTTCCCTTTGTACTGACCAATCTTGTTCAAACAAATCAGATGCTAGTGAGATTGCGCAGTGGACTGTCGATGACGTTGTAAGATTCGTGACGTCTGTGGAGTCATGCGCCGAATATGCTGATGTAAGTAGATAATTATTGATGTTGCTTTGTTCTATGGTTATCCACAGACTTCGGTTCGTTTGTTTGTTTGTTTGTTTTTGGAATTTCGCGCAAAGCTACACGAGGGCTATCTGCGCTAGCCGTCCCTAATTTAGCAGTGTAAGACTAGAGGGAAGGCAGCTAGTCATCACCACCCACCGCCAACTCTTGGGCTGCTCTT